ATTAAACGCCATAAACAGCTTGAGTAAGGATGAGGAGGTACTTTCATACATAGGACCAATTCGAAATGATGCTAGGAGGTGGATAGGACAATTTGATGAATGCCTAATACATCATACTTTCAGAGAAGGAAATGAAGTAGCACATGGGTTAGCAAGAAAGGGTTTATCATTAACAGAATAACTTTATTGGGTAGAGGAAGTCACCGGAGTTTATAAATTCAATTGTGTTAGTAGATATTTCTAATATTGCAATATGAACAAAATCATTTATTCAACAGGGAAAAAAAAAAAACATTGGAATGCAGTGCTAGAATATTTAGTTTAGCTATGGATGCATGAATTCGTTCAGTATAATTCAGATCTCCACTCTTTGTCAAATAATAATAATAATAATAATAATAAATATTGGAATACACTTTCTTAAATTGGTTCGACTTTAGATTTGTGAAAATGATCCATTTGATGATTCTGCACTGTGTTTGCTTCACGGTTAAATTGAAGGTATAGTGGCATTGCTTTATATAGTCTATATTTTTTGCCATTTAATAGTAATGTTCATGAACAAGTCTATATATGTTTTTAACCATTATACTATCATGCTTCATCGTTATAATATCGTCAAATATTTTCGTATATTCATATATATATATATATATATATGCACCAAAATAAATAGTTACTTAATATCGAGATGAATAATCTTACTAAGCTACCCAACCACGTCATTGGTTTCAAGGCACCATGATATGTTCCTCTTCACCCAAAAGAACAACTGCGTGGAGGTTGAGCTGAGGATTTGGGCCGTGTACTCCTAAATCTACTTGATATGTTTAGGGCATTCCAGATAAGAGCCAGTATCTCGCATATAAGATAGCCCAGCTGCCAACATCTTAGCCTCTACCAAGCTGAGTGCATAATATCCCTCTTCCAAATTGCAAACAATCCACATTTGTTACATTATTGACCACACTTTAGCATTTGATTTAATATTTTCTATACAAAAAATGCAGTAGTTTGAAAAAAAAAAGGATATTGTAAATACTTAAATTTAAATTTCAGACTTATTAAATGCTACTTCTTAAAAGTAATTGCATAAATCAATTTGTTTTAATACTATGTTCAAAGAGTTTGGTTGATCTCCTTAAAAAAAAAAAAAAACGAAAATAGAAAAGACCATTTCAAACATGCTATTTTAAGAGGCATTTAGTTCAAGAAAAGTAAAATTTTTTCCAGGAATCTTATTTCTAGTAATGTGATTCTTATATTTGATTTTCATAATGTGATTTCCTGAGATTTTATAAAATTTCTAACAATGTGAAGAAGAGAGAAAATAATCCTAAATCATAAAAGGTTAAATATAAAAATAACCTCTAAACTATACACTTTTTATTAGGTCGGTACTTAAAGAAATAAAATTATCAGTTTGATATTTCAATTTTTATTCCGTTATTACATTAGTATCTCAGACTAATGCCATTAGTTTGAAATGCTAACGTGGCATACACATCCAATAAGATGTTGACATGTATCAAAAAGTCCAATTGGCGCTACATCATTAATACGACATCAGTATTAAAAGAAATTTTCAAAAAAATCATAAAAATTCTAAAAATTTTTAAAAAAAAATTTAAAACAATTCTGAAATGATTCTAAAATGTTTCAACAAATTCAAAAAAATTCCAAAACATTTAAAAATATTAAAAATTTATAAAAATAAAAAAATGAAATATTTTTAAAATTATAAAAATTATGATAATTTTAATAATTTAAAAAATATGGAAAATTTAATAAAAATCCAAAAATTTTTAAAAAATGAAAATGAAAATGAAAATTAAATTTTTTAAATTTTGAAAAAATCACAAAAACTTAAAAAACTAAAAATTTTAAAATTTTTAAAAATTTTTAAATTTTTAAAAAATTCTAAAAAATTTTTGAAATTTTTGAAAAATTAAATAATTTCAAAATTTTGAAACATTCTTAAATTTTAACACAATTTTGAAAAATTAAAGATAAAAAACATAATAATTTAATAATGCAAAAAATGAAAAATTTTATAGAGAGTTAAAATTTTTAAAAATATTTAGATTTTTTTATTTTAAATATTTTAAGGCTTTTGTTAATTTTTTAATTTTAAGAAAATATTATTTTTATTAAAATCTTCATTTTTTTTTTGAATTTTTCAAAATAGTTTTGAAAATTTTTGAAGTCACCTAAAATATTTAGATTTTTTGGAATTTTATAATTTTTTTTTAGTTTTAAAAATTTTTTGTTATTTTTTAAATTTTTTAAAATTTCTTTTAATGGTAATGTGGCATTGATGATGTAATGTTGATTGTACTTTTTGATACGTGTCAGCATCTTATTGAATATTCATGTCACGTTAGTAAGTTAACTGATAGCATTAGTCTCCAATACCAATATGAACGATAGAATGAAAGTTAAAATACCAAATTAATAATTTTATTTCTTTAAATACCAAACTAACAGAAAGTGTATAGTTCAAAGGTTATTTTTATATTTAATCCAATCACCCTCATCTCCTTTAAGCTTTTTAATATTCCTGACAAAATGTAAAATTTATCTCACTTTTGTCATGGATAAATGATTTTTACGATCTATTTTATCCTTCAATATAAAAAAATTTACACGATAAACCGAGACCCAAATTAACACGCATGGAACATTCCAAGTCTTATCTTTTGGCACCTGACAATGACCATGGTTAAATTTTATTTTTTATGTGATAAAATTAATTCAGTTTTTATTTGTATTGAGTTTTTATTTTTTAAGATTAAATTTGTAAGTAGTTTGTACAAATTATTTAAATTTATTTAATAAAAATACAACAATTGTTAAAAGGATGTCTACTTTTTTAATAAAATTCAATTATTTGAGATTAAAAATACAATATATTAAATTATTTGCAATTAAAATTATTTTAAATATTACTTGTATTGAGATTTGAAAGATAAACTATATTTTCACAAATTTAGAATTTTAACAAAGATAGCATTTTTAAAGTAAGAAAAGTAGTGGATGTAAAATTTTATTTTTGAAAATTTAAAATTTTAGTAAAAATCATATTTTTAAGATAAGAACCATAGTAGATGTTGAAATTTTATTTTCAAAATTTTGAAATGTTAATAAAAATGTATTTCTAAGATAAGAAATATTGTGGATGTTGAAGTTTTGTTTTTGAAATTTTAAAAATTTAACAAATATTGTGTTTTTAAGATAAGAATGATAGTAGATGTTGAAACTTTTCAAAAACTTAAAATTTTAACAAAAATCACGTTTTTAAAATAAGAAATATCGTGGATGCTGCTACTCATAACAAAATTAAAATAAAATGTAAAATGTTTTACTTAATATTATTACATATAAAATTTAAATATTTTTACTTAAAATTAATACTCATAACAAAATTAAAATCCATGTATTTTCTTTGTATAAAAATAATTAATATAAGGATAGTAGTTAGGATTGTAATATTTTTGTTGAAAATATTAAAATGATTTTTTAAATTATTTAATTTCAATGAAAATAATGTGTTATTCAAGTATAATATTTTATGAATGTTACATATTATTCACGTGTCATCAAATATAATATAATAAAAAAATCTATTAGTTAATCTTACATTTTTTTAAAACAAATACAAAAATCTTATATTCTTTATGTCAACAAAATTCAGGAATTATAAATTCTCTTTTAATATTATTTTACTTTGGAATCCCTTTTCCTTTTTAGAATCTAAGAATTAGCATAACAAACGCCTCCTTAACAATTTTTAATGACTACAATTGGTTAAAATATAAAAAAGTCTTTGAATTATTTCATTTTCTTAAATAAGTCTTTAAATATTTATTGTATCTAAACAAATTCTTATTTTTTTGATTTGTATCAAAATAAGTATTTATTTCAAATACAAAATTTATTTATATTAAGAATTTATTTAAGTGTAAATTAAAAGTTAAAAACTTATTTAGATATAAATTAAAAATTAAAAATTTATTTGAATAAAAATTAAATATCAAAATTTTATTTATATAAATAAAAAAATATAAATTAATTATCTAAGTAAAATAATAAAAGTCATGAGTTTTTTTTTTTTTTTTTAAGCGGTACAATTAGTTTTAGATCTTTCTTCCAAATGAAAAGTTCGAGTGAGAAATGATATGACTATTTTACAATTAATTAATTACCAAGCTCGCAAGAGAATTTTTTTTTCCCCAAAATCGGCATGGTTAATCCAATATTCTTACCAAAAGGCACCTCAAATCATTACAAGGCACAGAATTAAGCAAAACTAGATTAATTATGAAATCGGACTTGATTCAATTAATTTATATTATTATTTTAAAAAGATAAATTTAATATATCTAAAATTTGAATTTTAATAATTGTAATTACTTTTTTATTATTAAATTGTAACTTTTCTTTTTTAAATACTGTCCCATTATAACATTTTCTTGATTTTCTCTTGTTAAATAAGCTATCCAAAAGTTTTCAGGATCACAAGAATCTTTCAAATGCAAACACATTCCATTTATTATTTTCATGAAGAGGCTTTCGAAAACGAATCAGATTCTCATATTGTTCATGATCATTATTTCTTTATCACTTCAATAATGTTGGGTAACCAAAAGGATTGCTCCATTTGTCATTTTGTTAATCCTCAGGTCCCCCTGCTAGACCATGACAACTACATGGTCGTGAACCGTTCAACAAATTTCAAGGAGACCAAGGTCTTTTTCCCCAAATTTTTTTTCTCAACGTGAAACGAACTCTTTTAGAGCACAAAAGTATTGTACTTGTTACATCAAGGAGATTACAGGCTCTAACAAATTCATATATTTCTTGGCACCATCGAATTTTGGTTGCAATCTATTACAAGGAATTTGTCAACTTTGACAGTCCAATGGCCACAACCAGTTGAGGAAATACATCTTTTGTTTTTATGCAATCCCTTCGTTGATCTACTTTTGCTTTTTCATTAGAGAGAGTGTAAAACAAAAGGAAGGGAAGATGTAAGAAAGTGAAATTTTAAACATAGACTTTTAACATTTTGGGGGCAGTCCAGTGCTTGCCCAAATCCCTAAATTTCTGATAAATTAAACTTGTTCACCTTGAGGAACTTTGCCATTTGCTAGTTTCATTTGGTGGGGTTTCTCTGGTCCAATCTCGATCGTTCCATTAGCAGTCGGTTTCTTTGTTACTTCAGATTCCTTGTTGTTGCGGTAGATGAAATAAAGCATGAGCTGCGTGGCCCCCAGGCCACACCCAAAACCATTGGGGATCTGAAAAAAAATTTTAAAAAAAAAGGACATATGGCAGCTCATTTATATTATACAGTGACATTGAATGATCGTTTTGGCTTATACACAAAAATACAGCACCGCCCTGCCCATTTTAAGCCATGCATGTTAAAATTATCCGAGTCCTCAAAATTTTTGTCCTGTTGAAGGTATATGTAAATTGTCTTGTTGATAAAAATTGACAGAACGTAATAGCTTTCCAATTTCATTTTATTCTCCAAAGGGAGATTTTTTTAAATGTGGTAAAAAACAAAATCAAAACGTAAGAGAAAAAACTTACAGCGACAAAAGCATCACGGCCGAGAAGGCCATAGACAAACCATGAAGTACCACAGAGGAATACAAATAATGACAAGAAAAACGGCATGAACTCCACACTCTTAGTCTTGACCACCAGCCTCTATATTACATTAAAAAATAACATAATTAGAACAATAAAAAAAAGTTTTTTTTTTTTCATAAAAAAATTGATTATAATTTGAGCAGTTGAGCTTACCATGATTGAAAGAGGTGAGGCATACATGATAACAGAGAAAATGGTAGCAGCAAGGCCGCAAAAGAGCTTTCTGCCACTACCATGCAGGGCAAAGAGGGAGATGAGGGCCACAGCTGAGAAAACAGTGAGTACAAAGGTGAAGAGCCCAAGAATTTTAGCCTTCTCCTTCTTTGGTGCAAATATGATGAAGATCAACACATAAATGGACTCAATTGCTGCTCCTGTCCCATTGATTGTTGAAACCAGAAGGTTGTTTTTAGATACAAAAGGAAGGCCATACCTAAGGAATTTGTCAAGACAAAATTAGATATCAAATCAAAGCTTTGCTATAAAAGAAATGATAAGGCTACTGTTAACTTTTCTAGATTATTAGACAAAGTTCAAGAAGGTTTGGTTGTCCACAATTTTGTTGTTTAAACATTGTTTTTGTCTCCTTGAAAAGTAAAAATGGGAAAGAAATAAATAAACGAGAAAACCCAAAGACTGCTGCAGAACAAATTCTGAAAGTTTGAATCAGGGGCAGTGCATGAATAAACAAAATAAAATTTGAAATATTATTGTATCTTCTGGACCATCCATTGAGCGCAAAATCAAGCCGTGAATTTAAAGACAACTTTACAGAAATACCCTCATAAAAAAATCAAATGACTACGGCGTAAGGGATTCAAACATGGAAACTAAAAGAGTAAAAAGGTAATTAGGTAGTTGAATTGGAAAAGAGATAAAAAGGCTCACCAAGCTGAGAGGAGACAGTTGAGCAAGGTCATTACGTAGGGTATTCCAGAGAATTGCTCTGTGGACTTGCTTCTTATGATCCTCTTAAATGTAATCCTTCAAAAATTAAACATGGTTTAACAAAACAGAATTAATGACAATTAATCTTTGAATGGCAATTGAAAATTTTCATTTATAGTTTTTTCTTTTTCTACTTATACCCTTTTGGAGAAAAGATCAGGAAGTGGTGAAACTTGTACATCATTCCCAAAATGTATAGAGAAGAATAGAAATTTGAAGTTAACATGTGTTACTCATAACCATTTTGAAGAAAAGAGCTGAAGAAAGGAGGAAAAATGAATTTTTTTTCAACGCCAAAATGAAAGTTCATAGAACTACATTAAGGAAAACAAAAGCTTTCCCCTTTCTTTGAAAAAAAGAAGATATTAGCTGATTCAACTCAATTTCTAAAAACCAAACACTGGCAAATTTTAGGCTTTGCTGCATGTGTTTATTACACATAGACAGAGAGAAAGAAACAAATAAACAAAGAAAAACTCGTTCTTCTTCCATTGATGAAGAACCTGTTTGAAGTTTTTACACTAAAACATGTAAGAATAAAAAACCATAGAAAAGATTAATCTTTGTTTGCTTTTTTCAGATAAAAAGAGAGAGGAAAAGGAGAGAGAGCAGTGTCTTTGTTATACATACGTTGGAGACAAGAAGAGGAACAAAGCAGTGGCATTTCCTGTAAACAAAGAAAACACAGAAAAACATGAAACAAAGGCAATAATATCAAAAAGAAAGTTTGATGGAAAGAATTTTAAAAACCCACCAAAAATTCCAAACAAGAAATGCAGAACATCCATTGTCTTTGAAACTTTATCCAACCTTTGAAAAGAAAGAAGAGAACCCAAAAACCAAAAAAGCTCGGGGAAAAGGGAAAAGAAACCAGCTACTAAGTGTATTTACAAATGGCAAGGAGATGCGCGGAGCAAACAGGAAGCAAGGCGGTTTATATAGAAAAAGAAAATAATGGGAGGGATAAAAAAGAAAGAGAAAACTGTTGAAAACAAACTGAAAAACAGTAAATTATCTGTTTTGTTCTTATCCACAGGACCTTAATAAGGAGAAGCGTCCACTTCTTGCTTCTCATACTCGTGAAACTGTGGTAAAACTGACATGACTCTGGGATATAACATTGGGAGCTGTTGACAGTGATATTGGACGGATTCTAAGGCGTAAATGTTAAAATTAACCTCAATGCCTTTTTCTTTTTCTTTTTTTTTTTTGGATTTTGGTGTTTGTTAATACCAAAATATTGGGATTGTTTTGTTTTAACATTTCTTCAAATCTTTTGGGGTTGGTTAAAATTCCTTTCATAGAAATCACACATTTGAAACATCCAGGTTTGCAGGTAAGAGTAAGGTGAAGCATTCAATTTAAATATTCATTGTTGAGGGAAAAACCCAAAGATTAGCTTAAGTTGAAGAATTTCCTTTCCATGTCAACTCGGGTTTAATCCCTGTAAAGGGTATTTTAAAAGTAAAATCCTTAATGCACTAAACTATATGAGAGATTGCATTCCCAAAATCGTTTGAAGAAGAAATTAAATTCGAAATATATAGCCTTTGATCGGAAAAAAAATTCCATGCTGTTAATAGCTTACGATTAATGGATTGTGGCTTATATATATGTAATGGGAGAAAATAATTCAGGGGACGATGCTAAATTACAAAAATGATGTAATTATTTTGTTTTTGTGATTTTATGACATGTGATAAAATTTCCAAGTTTAGGGTAAGAATAAATGTCTTATATATTTCCGATTTATGCAATCAAACTTCCAAAAATTGGGATTTGGAAAAACAAACAAATTATGCAAAAGGAAAAGACAAATAAATGAGAGGAAAAGGAGGAAAAAGGGACCGGTTGGACTGGAAAGAAGTTACGTGAAGAACAACCATATCTCACAGGAAGACTAGAGTCCTTAAAACTGTTGTTTTAGGGAATCAACTAATCTCCTTAAAATCAAATATTTCAATAATAAGAATAATCATATAAAGAATGTCCTAAATTTCTAAAACAGATTGAAACTACTGTAGATATTCATGAGTAGTCGAAGCCTTCTGTGGTTAAAGAAAAGTTGCTCTATTCTAATCGAAGTTGTAAAGCAAAATCATGTAAGAATTAAACACGAAGTTTAATTCAATTGATTTAAGAAATTACTTTTAAATAGTATTTGTTATTATTTTCAAAATCATTATAATAATTTAATCATCAATGATCTTATTATTAAGATAATCTTATTATTGGTGATCTGAAATCACTTTATTTCATTAAAAATCATTAATTTATTATAATTAAAAATCATTGTATTTGGTATTACTAAAAATCAAACATTATTTTTTTTGAAAGTATCAAAATATCCATGCACATTATAATAATTACACAATCTAATGATTTAAATATTATTTAAATATAATAATTTATATATAAAATATTAATAATATTTTATTTACTTTGTAATAAATATAATTAAATTATTAAAAAAATATATTTATTGATAATAAACTGATTTTTATAACATAAATTATGTAAAAAATATTTGAATTGAAAAATAAAATTAATATATTAAAATCAAAAGATTATATTATAAATAAATTTTTAAAAATTAAAAAATTTTATGCAAAATATTTTTGAACTTATTATAATAAATATTACTTTGAAAATATAAAAATTATAATATAAAATAATAATAATTAATTTTAAGAAGAAAAAATTTTTTAATTCATATATTAAATTGATAGTATTAACTATTATTAATTTTACGTATTATTTTATCACGGTGATAAAAGTTTTTTATCCTTTAGATAAAAATTAAATTACCATCTAAGATAGTGATCTAATTATTTTAAGTGATTCAAGAGCATTGTCACATAAGATCACTAAATTGTTACCCAATATAGTAATCTAATCACCATATGTAAATTACCATGATTATTTAAATAATTACTCCATATCCAATACTACATTAAAAAATGATATCCAACTAATTAAATATTCAAATTTTAACATCTTTAATCTATTTTTTTATTTCCACTCCGCAAGCTACTTAATTTTATAAGAAAATCAAGTAAGAATTCTGCCTTGGCAATTAACACGTTTCAACTTTCAAGTTAGATTGAAGAATCACATATTTTTTGGGTAAAATATGATGCAAAACAAATAGTGATGCAAGGAATTGTCCACTCTGGAGATTGACGACCTGTTTTTACAATTTTCTCCCTTGAGAAAAAGTGCTTCGATAGGAAAAATGTAGATCATTGCTTATAAATTACAATCCAATCTTTGATTACCAGCGATGCGGATCCTTTCCATTCAACACCTTCAATCATCCATTCTAATTGTGAATTACAATGGAAATCTCATTTGATTGATGATGGTGATGTAGCTGAGAGTATAGCCAAAGTGATGCGGTGAACTGTTAAGAAAAATTGGATATTTCACTAAATAAAAAGGAAAGAAGAAATAATGAGATCAGAAGGGGGGACCAAGTGATTGACAGAGAAAAGGGAAAAGAGGATGGGGGGGGGGGGGGGTTGAGGTGAAGGACAAAGTGTCGCAACATGAACACCCATGCCGTGGCTCGGCTGCAAGAAATAGTCAGCGTGGTACTGTTATGCATGACACCTACTTTGGACCCATTTTTGCATGATTCACTGCTCTAAACATAACTGCAATACCAACCTCAAATTATGTACTTATCTGCTGGAATTGTAGTTTTCTACTCTGCAGCAGCATTTTGGAGCAAATAACAATGTGAATCAAATGGGGTTCCAATGGATAATATTCTCATCAAAGATTGAATCTAATGATAAAGAAGAGGTTTTAGGTACAAGCTTCACCACTTGGTGGATATGATGCAACTTTATATCACTTTATATAAGATTTTATCAAATTATATATAGTTAGTTGGTTTAAATTTATTTGGCTTATTTCATATTGATTTCTTAATTATATTGAAGTAATAATTATGTTAATATTAATATTTGTTAAAGTTATTTGATTATCATTATGAGTTTTAATTGCATATAAAAATTCATAAAAATGTGTTAATTACACATTTAATCTTGAACTATAACCAGATTTTCAATTTAGTACCAATTAAAAAAATTTACAATTAGGTACCCAAATTAATTTGCTTCTGTCAATTAGTTTGCACATGACGTTAACATCGTTTGCCAAATGAGTGATATGTCCAAAACATTCAACAAAATTGCTACAGTAGCATGCTGGCATGATATTTTTTATAATTGTTTTTGGACACATCATTCATTTGACTAGTAAATATAATTTTGTGTGTGCAAAATAAATATATGAATTAAAAAAAATAATACATGAATATAAAGTTAGAATATTTTTAAACTAAAGTTTGAGTATCTAATTGCGAATCTTATAATGTAAATATAAAATAAAAATTATGACTATAATTTTATCAAGTGTGCAATTAATCAAAAAGAAAAATAAACTTTGCTTGGTAATTAGAGATGAAAAAACTTGTTTGAAGATATTTGTCCGATGGGGCAAGAAAATTAATAGAATGAAAACATCTAAGACAAATTAAATTAGACGTTTTATTTTGAGATGATTTCTAGTGCAAAGAGCTTGTGAGTGAAAGCTATGTTATGGACTTTTGATAGATCAATTTAAGGTAAGAATTTGGATGTGTAAAAGATAGAACCAATGTATATTACTTATTTAAAGGATCTTATAACATCAAAGAATCATGCATGGCTGGTTTTCATAAAGATTATAACTCTATACACCATTAGTAAATCATTCAATTAGTTATTTCTTAAAAATTAACATTTATTAATAAAGATTTTGAAAACTTTTAATAAGATGATAAGATGTAGTTAATTACTTTTTTTTTTCTGCAGTAAGTAATTAATTACTTTTAGACAAAAATTAAGAGCCCCTGCTCTCTTCCATGGGCAGTCTTTTGGTTCTAAATGCCTACCTTTAGGCAGATCATAACCAAAAAATATACAGCAAATTAGAGCAAAAGTCGACATTATATATATATATATATGTAACTTGGACTGTAAGAATTGATATAAGACTGCTAACGGATAAGGAATTGAGGTCTAATGGGTCAAACTGGACAAAATTACTTGGTACTTGGTAAGGGCTAAACCAGATGGTAGAGTTATACCATTTTCTGTACCAATTAGGGTAGGGGCTTCTTTATACACCACCTAAATTTCTTTATACATCCTATCAATTTTCTTTTAAAATACTCACATAACAAATATTAAATTTATCTTTTAATAAATTATAATTTTACCCTCTTCTTCTTCTTTCTCTTTTTTTCCTTTTTCATTCTCTTTCATTCTTCATTCTCATATACCGAGCCGGTTTTTTTTATGTTTTCGAAAATCTATTTTTGAAATTTATGATGCATTTGCGAAAATAAAGTTTTTCAAAATGAATTTTTGAAAACCTTAAAAGCTTTTTGAAAATGAGGTTTCTCAAAAATAAATTTTCAAGAGTCTTAACAGCTTTTCGAAAATATAAATAAATTTTCAAAAGCCTTCTCAAAAATGCATTTCTAAGACCCTTAAAAGTTATTCGAAAATTCATTTTTCAAAAAGCTCAAATTCTACAAAATTTATTTAGTAAATTTTAATCTATTTTCACATGTATTTAAAACAAATCAAATGAAATAAATCTTGAAATCTAACTTTAAATGGAAGACTCAAAAAAATGTAATTTTGGGGTTAATTTGATAGAATTATAGTTAATTTGGTTTTGAGATTGAAGAGAGAAGAAGAGAGGAGGAAGAAAAAAATGGTGAGGGTATGAAGGGCAAATCAATTTTTAAGGGATAGGATGAATTTAGTAGAAATAAAAAATTTAAGTTTGAATTTGAGGTATGTTTAGTAGTGGGGTATATAGAGTAAAGATGGGAGTGTAAATAGAATTTCCCGTTAACGTGTGACAGAGAGGACCTAGAATCTTTACCTTTTTGACCCTTTCAAAGAA